TTTAACCTTGTGTCAATAAATAAATCCACAAAGCAAAAATAATCTTTTTTTAAAAAGTTATGAAGCCAACAAAATTACCTCTGATGCTTAAAAAAAGTAAAAAAAAATAAAAAAAATCTGTTACTCAGATCAAACCTAACATTTAAAAATAGATCCACTTTCTTTACAGTAAATCTTTACGATGTGTTAAAAAATATTAAATATATCTACTATCCGAAAAGTGCTGCAATAAAAATATATTCTTAAGACACAGGAGGACGTTTTAGGATATTCATTTTTATCACTGGTCTGAGTTACAGATTGAAAACGGACCTTTTGAAAGTTCAGGTCTAATTTTGTCCTCTTGTATTAAAGTATGCAATTATGTTTGCAGCTGTTTAATCATACAACACATAAGTAGCAGACTGGAGCAGCCAACAGCAGTGCAGGAGAACAAACCAGCTGGAAACTAGTTTAGTCTGCAGCACACACTGGAAGCTGTTCAAATCATCTACATGTTCTTCATTTTCACACCGATGATCTGCTTCAGCACCAGCTCGTCCTTTTCCTGAAAGCTAAAAAACTACTGAAGCCCAGCTAGTGCTGCTGTTAGCGGCTGATTTACTGCAGGTTAAACATGCAGAATTAGTACTCCACTCAGTTCGGAGACTTATCTGTGGAGCTAAACTGACTGAGGTGTCCTCATTAGAAGAACCGCTGCTAAAGAAAGAAAAAAAAAAAGCACCATTGACCACAAAACTGCAAGAGGAACACATAAATAATAATCCATCTTTGTGTAGACAGACCGGACACCAAAATCTAACTCTTTCAAAATTAAACACAAAGAAAACCAAGAAACTCGGATGGACGCTCGTCTCCACACTGCTCAGAGACTACAAATACTGTTTTAATGTCTGATGTCTGCAATTAAAAAAAAAAAAAAAATCGTCTACGTTTTTTGTAATTACACAAATCTTAAATGAACATTTTATTGACTGAGGATTTCTGAAGCTCAAACTGAAATATTTACTGAGTTTAAGGACGCCATCCAAAAATGAAAGCAAAACCAACCAACTAAAAACAGTTCTGACATAAACATTTCCAGCAACTGCATTTTTCCCTGTTCTTCTCATCTACTTCTTCAGGGTTTCCTCCACTGTCTCATTTTATAGCTAAAGAATAAATAAGCTGATAGGAAAACTTTTAGTTTATAGAAAAACTGCTTGTTCTTTCTTTAAAACATTGCTGCAGGCTGACTGGACATGCAGAATTTACTCTACGATAATGTTTAAAGTTAAACTTACTCCTTATTTATGGCATTTATATCTATGATATTTATATAAAACAAATCTAATAAAAATTAGCAAACCACAAGTAATTAAAGGCATTGCCTTCATATTAAATACTTTTTAATTTAAGCCAAAATAAGACGTTTTAAGAACATCTTAAGGATTTGTAAGCACTGAGCGGTGTCACGGGTTTTTAAAGTGGTATGTTTAGCTAATTTTTTTAAGAAAAAAAAAGCTATAGAATCTCATCTTAAGAGGTCTCAACTTGATTCAATTGCAGCTCCAGATTTTGGCCAGCAGAGGTCACCATTCAAGCTTGCATTTAACACTGGATCAAGTCATTGCTATTTTTTTAAGAGCCCATTTAAACTTAAATTCAGACCATGACTGAAAACTTAGATATTAAAGGTTTTTGTTTTATTTATTTCTTATTCACTGTACTTCTGGCTCTAAAGCAAATCTGATATTGGTTAAAAAGAAACAGTTATACTGTTCAAATCATGTGTTCATGGTCTGAATGCAAAGTTAAAACAAAAATAAAAGATCCAGATAATTGACTGCAGCTCTGAGGGGACCTTAGCTTCCCCAAGCTTTAAAAATGATTGATCCCAGATCACGTTAGGAGCGCCTGAAGGTTGACGTTCAGATAACTGAGTACACACCAAAACAAGAGACCAGGAGAACATATTTCCTTTCAAATAAACACCTACTGAAGGGAGATAACAGAACTTTGGGTTTTTGTTGTTTTAAGTCAATGACACAAGTTAGGTGGGTGATTGTTGAGGGGCTTTGGTGTCCTCTGACTCCTTCCTTTGGTTGCTAAATTTAAAATGAACAGAGCAGATCTGTTGTCAGCAAGGTGAAGAAAATATGCTTAACTGTGATAAATATCTACAAATATGAACAGATGTGACACCATAGTGACCTTAGATAGCCACCAAAAAAAATTACATTAAAAACTTAAAGGACCTCCAACTTATATTATTCAGTGTGGATCCCTTGAACTAATCACACAGAATGAACACATTAACACTTCCATCATCATTGATTCAGCTTTCTACATAGAGACAGACACACACACAGGAATTATTTTTTTGACATATTAGAATGTTTTCAATGCTCCTGTATCCTTTAAAATTTCCCAGCGCACTCCCAATACCAAGATATGAGGTTTGGATCACAGGACAGAGCCTCAGTTCAAATAATAATTAATATTATAGGTATACAGGAAGTAGGAAACGGTCGTATTCTGAATTTAAGGCCGACAACAGAAACACAAAGGAGGCCTTCGATGATGACAGGGTTTTATGGAACAGTTGGAAGTGCAGCGGTCTGTCTGTGTGACCTTTACCTGGAACACCTTCTGTTTCTGGGGGACTTTGTTCTCAACCTGCCGCCGGACGGAGCTGGAGATGCTCCGCCGCGCCACCTGCTGAAGCGCCTGGAAAACAGCAGCGCAAGGACACGGAGAAACACTCATTTAATGAAAATATAAGAACCCAGTCTTGAATACACAGAAAACAAACACAGAGAGGCCGGACACCACCGCTAAATACAACTCCTCTGCAAAGCTAATGCTAACTCTTCCCGGTGTTGACCCCTGCTAACCGTTCTAAGCTAAATATAGCCGACTGTTTTTACCCCGGTGGCTCATCCATCGCATTTATCCAGCTCACTAGTTTAAAAAACAACACCCAAGAGAAACTTGTAAATAGAAAATAAACTTACATAAAATTGTCTGTACATGCTCATCGTCCGTCTACAGTCCGCTGTCTGTCACAAGGGCACAGGAAACCTTTACTTCCGTTTCCACTGAAATCTTCTTCGCTATCATTAACTGTGCTCATGCTGCGCGCTGCTGCCCCCTACATGAGCGTCAGGTACCCACAGTCAAGCATGAGAGCAGATTTAATCAAACGAAATTATAGAATTTAGAATGAACTGGTTCATATATTAATAAATATATTATACATATTATCATATCATATATCATATAACTTCATATTTGCTTTCTGTTAAAGAACCTCTTCTGGGCCCTCAACACCAGCTCCATAACTAAGAAAGCCCAACAGCATCTCTAGTTCCTGTAGAAGCTGAGAAAAGCCCATCTCCCATCATCCATTCTCACCACCTCCTACAGTGGGACTAAAGAGAGCTTCCTAAGCAGCTACATTACTGTCTGGTACACCATAACTGCACCATATCAGATTGCAATACCCTACAAAGGATAGTGAGAACAGCTGAGAAGATCATCTGAGCCGCTCTTCTCTCCATCACAGACACCTATCGCATCCGCTGCATCTGCAAAGCCACTGGCATTGTGGAGGACCCCATGCAGCCCTCACACACACACTTCTGTCAAGAGGTACCAGAGCATTGAGCCCCTCACTGCCTCACTGTCTTCCAATGTTTAAAGACGCCGCTGCTGCTGAACAAGCTGAAGCCAGTTTGAAGATGATCCATTCAAAATTTGTTGGTAATATAATAAAAATATATTTTTACTAATTTTTTTAACATTTCATTTGATCTAGACCAGATTTTCACCAAACTGGAAGCAGCTTGAGCCATTATCGGTGTTTACCATCACACAAAATCTGAAAATGAGATCTTGAAAACTGTGGATGCTAGAGTGCTAAGATACTGACTACACACTCCCTCCCTTTTGGATTGGAGAATAAAATACAGTAAAAGTGTTTTATGACATAAAACTTATGAGAAAAATAAAACTATTTCCACACTTATCATTTCCGGCTGACGAATTAAAACGACTCATCTTTTTTTTTTTAAATCACAAATTTATTCTTTTAAAGCAAAAACAACAAAACACAGGTGAAGTATCAAAAACACAAAAGTCAAATCCAACCAGACACAAATGCAGGTAATAAATTCATTTCTATGTTAAAAAATAAAAAGCATAATATATCTCGGCACATCTGAACATGCAGCATCTATTTAACGAGCAGGTGGAAGCAGCTGCAGCTCCTCGTAGCTTAAAAATGGCTGTAAAACGACATAAATTCACTCGTAGCACAGAAAACATTTAATCACATGTAGTGCTGAGTCATGCTGCGCTGTTGTTACTGCATGTAAACCACAGTGGATGAAACTACGCATCAGTGCACATTTCTCTGGATACTCACTCAAATTTAAACCTGTTTCAGACTCTGCAACCCTGAGGTCTCACGTGCAAATACTGGCTTTACTCTAGCAAGCAAACATCTCATAAAACTGTTCATGTAAATACAAAAAATAAACACTCTTTTTTTAGCTGCAGTACTCTGTGTGTTTCCTTGAAATTGCTACAACACAGTTAAAGCGCAGTTAAAGATTTAGGACAACAACAAAAAGGAGGCACAAAGACAAGCCACCCGTTCAACGCCGTACCAGAACCAACGAGGGGCAGAAAGAGACCGCGAGAGGGTCTCTTTTTTTAGTTTTTTCCTTAAATTAATTCTGTCATATTTGCACATTTTGTTTCCCATGAACTTGCCAAATTTCATTTTGACAGTCTCATACATTTTTACTATTAATTTTGCCACTTTTTCTGGTAAATTTACAACTTTAGCCACATTTTCTGCCTTCGGTGGGCCTAACACACCATCATACACCCGAGCAGCGCGGTGATAACAACATCTCAGCAGCATGCAACTCACACACTTATACTCCCGCTCACTTACACTTCACCATCAGAGATCCTAAAGTGACGTAAAAAACTTTCCAGACTCCTCCCTGTTAATTTTTTATTTATTTTATTTTTTTTAATATTTGAAGAGCCTGGCTGGGCTTTAGGTCGTTCTGCGTGCTGACTTGAATCACTGACACAATCGTTTTTGTTAGACTTGTATAGTTAGGAGAGGAATGAGCACATTTTCAGCTGATTTCTTTAAGATTGGCATTTTAGTGTGACTTTAGAACATGAACTCTGCACTACAGCTGAAGATGAATCTACCATCGTCACCCGTTTCCTCAGATTCATCATCGCATCACATTTATGGCGGTGGAGGCGAGCTGGAGCGCAGCCGGCACCTCAGTTTGAGATGTTAGCGCTGTTGTTGCGGTTCCCATATTTGTGGTGGATGACCAGCAGCACGACGCCCAGGAAGAAGCAGACGGAGCCCACGGTGATGTAGGCGATGCCCAAGAATGGGTTCTTGCCTCCCATCCAGGAGATGGTGCTCAGGATCATCCGCTTCCTGCCCTCAAAGCTGCGAACAGGGTAATCTGGTTTTATCAGGTTAAAGGTACGACAACCACTTATTTTTCTTTTAAACCTTCATTTAAATTTTATAAGAATCTGTTTCTGTTTTTTTCATGCAGTTTTGCTGTCACGACTTTCACGTTAAGGATACTGTAGTCCACCACTAAGGTGTAGTTTCCTCGGGGGAGGGTGGGGGCCATATTGTTCTTCTTTTGGATGATGCGGTAGAGTTTGCGGAAGGTGGGCAGAGCGGCAGTTCTCATCCACACGATGAAGTCCTCATTGATGAAGCCGTTGTTCTCCGGATCAGTGTCCAGCTCATACACGGGCCGGTGCCAGTTCACCGGCTTCACTGTTCCTGAAGTGGAAGTGAAAAAAAAACAAAAATAAAAACGGAATAGACGTTGATGATTATCTTAAAAATGGTCAGAGTTTCTGATATTGTAGTATTACCAGTATTTACTAGTAATATTAGTAATAGAGGATTACTATTAAACAATCAAATATATTAAATAATAAAAATCTATCTAATCTAACCACACAATAAAATATAAAAAGTGTGTTGTTAAATTATAAAAATACAAATATTAAAAACTAATTAATACAATCTAAAACTAAAATAAATGTTACTTAATAAAAAAAAACAAAAATGTAAAAAATAAAGGTAAATAAATGCAGAATTTATTTCTGCCAGTCATCAATATTTACTTCATGGTGCATGTTACTGCATATTCATTTATTTATTGAGCCACTTTTAGGTTTATGCTTTATTTCAGCTGTTTTATTTCCTGTGTTTATAACACGGAAACAGTGCAGCTCTGTGCACAGGAGACTGAATCCTTTTTTAAGACTTGTCTGCAATAAGAAAAACAGACAGCCTCTCCCTCAGAGAGAGAGAGTGCAGCAGATGTCGCTGACTGGCGATACCTTGAAAAACAGCCGTGAGGTTTGAGTTGGTGCCTACAGGGTTCCTGAACTTCACATGTTTGTCCGTCCACCAGGCAATTCCTGTGGACGTCAGCGGGATCGGGACACTTGTGCCGTTGGGGTCGTTGTAAAATAGCGTCAAAGTGTCTGCAAAGAAAGCAAAGACGGCTGATAAGAGAAACGTGAGTCCTTCAAAGACACGTTCACACAAACTGATCTGTGATGATCTGTGACCATAATCATTTACTAACAGTCATTTTTTTTATGTTTTCTTCATTCTCTCTTTGTTGTTAATCTGCAAGAAAAAAGATGGTCTCACCGTTAAACATGCTGTTGGCGATGGCCCCACACGGAGCAATTGGCTTATTATCAATGGAAGCATATGGTTCACACTCCTTGCTGGGCTTCTGTAAAAGACAGAGAAGGAAAAGGTGACGAGAGAGAAGTGGCAGCACGTAGCGCAGCATTTAGAGCTGTAAGCAAGGATATAACCCAGCAACAACCAAGTAGAACTTCCTCTAATGTTCACCGAGGCTGGCTCCAAGTTTTACAGGATGACACCCCTGTAAAATTGGGGGCGTAGCTGCTTTGACTGATAGATGTGCTCACACAGGCAGCTTGAACGATGTGTTTGTGCTGCTGTCTGAAGCGTGTTTAATATTATCATCTGACAAACGTTATGTCATCCTCTCCCGTTAAATGTGCTAATGGACCAATGAGGCCCAAGTCTGTGCTCCAGGTTTGGTTCTCCATACTTGTCTTCAAATGTTGAGATCACCACCATGTTTTGGTTTGTTTATTTATTTATTCACCTGTTGCTCTTCGTTTCTTTGACTCATGCCTGAAAATTAGCGTATATATCAAAACTAAATATGTTTTTGAAATCTAAGTTTTAACTGCATTTAAACCCATTTTGCCTTGTTGTTTTCTTGGTCTGTGACCTAAAACATTTTGTCCTTGATATGAGTTCACCTTCTTTTTCCTGCTTGCCATTGGAGAGGAAGCTCCTACCTTGAGGGAATCGATGTTTCCATTCAGCTGGCTGTCATCTCTTGACTTCACGTAACGTCTGTGATTTTGGTAAAAGTTGGAGAGGCCGTAATACATGAAGACGTTGCTCTGTTTGATTGAGAGAAAGATGTGTAAAGGTTAGCTTAATCAAACTGGCTGCCGCTGGGCTGTAGTCCTGGATGCATCTTACCTCGTAAGGCTGATCCAGCTGGAAGGGGATTGTGCAGGTGCAGGACTTCGTGTTGTTCCAGCTGAAGTTCTTTGCACAGTTGTAGCAGGGACTGGACGTGTCATCTCCGGTATAATCGATCTGTAAGCACGAAGAAAATAAATCCATCCATCCATCCATTCGCTTCCGCTTATCCTTTTCAGGGTCGCGGGGGGCGCTGGAGCCTATCCCAGCTGTCATAGGGCGAGAGGCAGGGTACACCCTGGACAGGTCGCCAGTCTGTCGCAGGGCCAACACACAGGGACAGACAGCCATTCACACTCACATTCACACCTAGTGACAATTTGGATTAATCAATTAACCTATCCCCACAAGCTGCATGTCTTTGGACGGTGGGAGGAAGCCGGAGTACCCGAAGAAAATAAATATGATAAATAAATAAAGTTAGCTCAATATATTTCATGATACTGACAGCTTTATTTATTTAAGATATGTGAATGAAGAGATATTCAAGATACAATTATATCATGAATATGAGCGTTTTGGAGAAAATGTCAGTATTAACAGAATCATTTAGCTCAATAAAATGTTTAACCCTGTTTTGGAAGAGCTTTACTAGATAATGATCAAATTGTGTTTGTGCCATTTGATGGGAGTTACACTATGTGGACAAATACAATATTAATGCAATACTCGTGACACAGAAAAATCAGCTCAGTTTACCTCAAACTCCTTGATGTTGTTAGACGTCACGTACAGGCCGATGCCGATGGGGATGAAGATGAGCCCGATGATGAAGAAGGCCGGGAGGACAGTGCCCGCGGTGAGGATGGGCTGCCACGCGGGGAGCCTCTGCTGCTTAAAGGCGGTGTTTTCGGGCTTCTTGTTCCGCAGAGTCCCACCACCGGGTCCAGACACGGTGATGTGACCGTCCTCGTCTTTGGCGCTGTAACTGGACGCCATCATAACTTCGGATCTGTGATTTATCCAGCTGACCTTAGCAAGCTAACGGGGCTAGCTTCTCGACGACAGTTGTTTTTAAAAGGCGCCGGTCCTAAACGACGTCGTCATTAGCTTGTTGCTAATTTGAGTGTTATTTATGCTAATCAAAGTTCTGTTAGTTCATCTCTAAACCACGGAGAGGCTAGCTAAAGACGGCTAGCACTTCCTTTCCCGGAAGTGTGCAAACAGGTTTGTCAACAACACCCAGTGACGTAACTCTTGTGGTGGCTACTGCTGCATTCAGTGACCGCTGCGGAAACAAAAGATTCAGTCAGTGCTGTATTGAAAGGACACGTGGATTGGTGTAACATAAGAAGATGGAAATCTGTTTAGTATCTAATTACAATTATTTTATGCTACGAGTGATACAGCGATGGTTTTATTATTTCTCGCTGGAATGGCGAATAATTGTTTTCAATTTCCAAAGATGAGATTAAGATGTACGTGAATCACCTAAAGGCATCGTTATTAGTCATACAACGTCCAAAAATCAGAAATAAATAAGTTTCATTTCACTGCTAGTAGAATTTTATTGACAGATTTAATTCTATCAACATAAAGAAGTTCTTCACTGAGAATATCCGTGTGTGTGAATAAAGTCTCAGAAAGCCATCACGTAGGCTTCAAACAGCATACATCATGTATATTGAAAAAGAATAACAAAAAGCGAGATGTTCAAGGATTCGAATTGAAATTTCCAAGCACTGTTTGCATATGTTCACATCCACATAAATAATATGGCAAATAAACCATCAGAGACACTGTATGTCATTCATTATCTTCATGTCCAACTGCAGGATATTCAGCAACTTTCAAAACATGTTTGTTTGTTTTGTTTTTATTTCATTTCATATATGTTTTAAAACTGATTTAGCAAAAAAAAAGAAAAGAAAAACTTCTTCTTTCCACTGTTCCCTTTAAGGGTCGCCTCAGTGGATTACCACAGTGCCTCTACATCATCCCATCTCATCCTATCATTCCCTTTCACACCAATCCTCTGTATGTCCTTTTTCACTACATCCATGAATCTTCTCTGAAACCTTCCTCTGCTCCTGCCTGGCAATACAGACTAAAATTGTTAACGATTTGATGCCTAATAATCATAAATGTAACTTCAAAAGCCTCAAATGTGTTTTAAACTTTTGAATATTTGTCATTTAAAATGTATTAAAGCAGGTAAAACAGCGTGCCAGTACACCTCACTGGGTTGAGCAGATACAAATAAGCCACAAGGCGATTGCCAAGCCCCACATCTGAATTAACTGAGTGTTTTCCCACTCCTCTCTCTCCTGGCTTCCCTGTTATAATAAAGGATAAAAAGCCCCCAAATAATAATAATTCCATTTTATGGTGTTAATTTATTCCACTAATGGAAGGTGTTTGTTTGTGAACACAAAGGGGGGGAATGGGAATCATCAGAAGTGGGAGGTGTGACTGTTTGCATCATGTACTGAAGCTTCTGATTTTTTTTTCTTCTTGTTTTTGTTGTTAAAAGTCTCCCATCATCTTCACCATTCTTCATGGCTCAGCGGCGCCAGTTTACTGTGCCAGCATCCATCAGTGAACCTGTGGTGGAAAACACACAGACAAGAAAACCTTCATTTGAGTCATCACGCTCCCCTTAGACAGCTCATCAACTTTAGAGCAGTAGGCAGTTTCATATGTATAAAAGATTTTAGAAATGAAACAGAGATTTGCTTTCGTCCGAGCTCTACCTCTAACTTGTTTTAAACTTACAGCTTACATAAATGAAACCATTTACTTCCTGTTCGACTTGTAACTTAATGAAGATAAAGGAAGTGATTATTTTGTAGTTATAATGTCAGTTATTATATTTATATGAAGAAAGGGTCTACTTAGAACAGGACCTGGACTGAATGGATGGATGGATGGACACTGTTCACTGTGTCTCTTGTCTCTTTGTCTTCCACAGATATATGTTTAGCACCCATCAGCAGATGCAGCTCTCTGCGTGTTTTTTGTGTATTTTTTTTTATCTATTATTGTGTTTGGTTTTGTCAATTTTGTCTTTTGTCAGCATCAGTTGCTTGTAAATGTTCTTCATAAATAAAGTTGTTTTGAGTTACTGAATACTTCACATGTGCACAGGGTGTGAGAAGATCAATCAGTAGAAGCAAATACAGGAGGACAAATATCTGAAAAATGAGCACAGCACAATATCCGTGAGTGCATCTGGGTTACTGAGGAGTGCAACAAATCAGCTGTATGGGGGCTTACTTGCATAAATGGAAGTGCACAACTTGCACCTACACTGGGCCTTTAAAGGGGCTACCTGTTAGACTCCGGATTGGTTTTAAAAGCCGCTGTATTGTTTCAGACTAGCTCTCGCTCTTTTTCAATTCTTGACCATTTTATTTGTATCATCCTTTTATGATAATAAGTCTGTTAATCAGGAATGGCTGTGGCTCAGCGGGTGATCTACTGAAGGTTGGTTGTTCAATCCCTGGTATCCTTGGGCACGATACTGAACTCTCAGTTCTTCCTGATGTGCTCATCAGAGTGTGAATATGTGTGAAAGGGTGTGAAAGATGTGTAAAGGGCTCCAAGTGCTCAAATAGAGTAAATAAAGCACTTTATAAAAACCAGTCCATTAAATCAAGTGACAATATATATACTGAGGAATCTGTCAATTTTTTATCTGTTTTATTCGAGTGTAGCCTGGATATAGTTGGATATATAAATCTAGATATAAATGAGTAAAAGAAGACACAATCAGATGAGTCCGAGCTGTAAATGATTGTTAGTTGTTAGACACTGTAATGGCCGGCCCACTCCCAGCAGTTTTTCAGCTCTGCAGCTGGACTGCAGCAGAAAAGTCCCACATGTTGGTTCTGAGCAGTTTTCTCTGAGGAATGTGCCCGGCTCAGCCCAGCTATGATTTTCATAATCCTGTTCAGCCTCTGATGTTGTTCCCAGAAAGGACTTGATCCCCCCCGAATCTCTAAGCAGCAGGCTCTGTGATTGATCATGTTTACCCTTCTGTTTTCCAGCTGCAGTCTTTAATATCCTGCCATCTTCCTCTTTCCTCCTTACATCAGCATATCTCACACTCTCCATCTTCCTGAATCACTCTAATTAAGTGGTAGCACAGTTGCTTGTTCATATCACCGCATCTCTCCACATCTCCTGACAGATTACACAATCAGCAGGTAATTGTGTTGGCTGTTTTGTTCAGCCTGCGCTGAGACAATCATTAGAGGAAGCGTGAGGCTGCTGCTGCCTCACTGAGGCAGTTTAGAGATGTCAGATTTCTAAATGTGATCAGTTTGTTGCTGAAGTGAATCTCAACTCAGTCGGTTTATGTGCACTTGTCCACAAGAGGGAGGTGAACGTTCACAATGTGGACTAACGCTCACAGGTCTGTGTGGAAACCATTCTGAATAATGGCCAGCAGGGGGCGACTCCTGCGATTAGAAAGAGAAGTCAGTGAGAAATGGGTCGACTTCACCCAGCTGAACACTTTCCTGATGAGTTTATGATCTCAGCTGCTATTTATATACGATGCTCATTTAGTAAATGATCCCATTAGAGCCAAACTGACTCACAGGTCGCCAACTCATGATGTACCTTGTCCCTCTGTTTCCACGGTACCAATATTTACATCATAAGACTCAATAAATCCTTATACCAGGTAACTTCAATTATCTTTAGTGTCTAAATTTTATTCTTGTTTTTCTTTACTTCTCAGGCTGAGGTCCACATGCATCTGTCCAACTGCTCACATTCTCAAATGCACTTTTGTTGAAACCGGAATAAGAAACCATTACTCTGCACACCTGTGATGAAGGCAAAATCCAGGCTACTTAGAGGTGAGGAGTACAAATATCTTACATGAAATGCATTTTTACTTCTATACAGGATGTGGAATCAAGTTCAGAGAATTAGTTTTCATAGTTGCCCGGGAGTGCTCTGGGAACCACGCAGTCACAAAGATGGAAGTTACGAAGCAAAGCCGTACTTGGTTCAGAGATAAATAGTTTTTATTTTGGTGCGTGTCACAAACAATTCACAGTCAGCGCCTCGGTCACCAGAAACCTCCATGAGCTGCGGTGAAATAAACACATGCTATAAAAATACGATGATGACATTAAAAATCTGAACCAGCTATGAAGGAGCGGCGAGATGGAGTTAATCAAATCAGCAAAGCTTTCTCGTGCAATTAACCGGCCGTTCAAATGACATGAATATTATCTGAAAACATGAGTGGTAGCACATTAAATGATGTTTGTAAAGCTAAGCTGTGGTAAAAGGCAACATCACACACAGTCCCATGGTGAATGCACACAGATGTGTTCTGCGTCTCTATTCTGGCAGCAGATTTGGGGATTTGGTGGTGAACCGGCACTCAGCTCTTTCCTGCTGCTGCAGAGGCCAAACCACACACGGTCGGCTTCCTCAGCTCGATTTTCATCGCGTGGCTCTCGGCCCGTGACTCTAACCTTGTCACCGTGGACACGCCCAGGACCGCTTTGCTGCTTGGTTTCATACCTTTTGACACAGGGATCCGTGTTGCGGTGCTCCGACTGTACTGCACATCTGCACTGGGCTACAAAAAGAAGAAGAAGAAAGAAAAAAAAAAGACAAAAGCCAGCATGAGACAGAGACAAGGATCTTTTAATCGTTTTATTAACTGTGTCACTGATTTCACTGAAGCAGGGATGGTGAGAATGTGAGCTCCCCAGTAAGCATGCTTTTGGTGGCTCTGATACACGATCAGTGGACTGAGTGATGGTGGGTCATTTCGGGGGAAGGGGAGAAACTCCTAACGACTAGGTACATAAAGCACCGTATTTTTCGGACCATAAGGCGCACCGGATTATAAGGTGCATCAAGCGAAACAAAACAGTCAGATAAGTCAAACTTTACTCAACTCATTCTTCTTGCTTCGGTCCGTTTACAGCATCCTGCCACGAGATTGCATTTGTCCCCAACCATCGGGAACCCTCACATTATTGCGTTAAAAGTTAGCGTTCGGTCTCCAGCTTCCCTGCGTTTATGTTATGCTAATATAGCTAGTGATCACGTAGCACATTATTATATACCAGTTAGCCCAACTTCAGTAACCATACAACTGTTACTGCCGTTTAGTTTTCTGTCTTTATTTATGTTGGAAGTGATAGCACAGCTGTACGTTTTAATTTTTTCAGAAATCTCTCAGTCAGGACATAGTATATCATGTTTAGGTGGAAACTAGCAAGCTAACCTCCTGCCAACTTC